GGGGGGGGGGGGGAGGGAATAAAGGCCGTGGAACGTCACATTAGATAACTTGTAAATATGGATGCGCGTGGTTATCCATTTTGTTTGCACTTGGTTACATCTGGTGAACATTTTGTGTTAATAATCAAAACGTTAATTCTTATTTATTTCTTTAAAAACACAATTCCTACCGGTCAAAATTATAAAATGAAATAATTAATTTCATGTTACGCCTAGAAATTATTTGCATTTTAGAGAAAGATAGCAGCGTGCGGCCTAATAATTATTACCGACAAAATGATTATTAAGCTATTTTTTCTTATTCTATCAATTCCTTATTTTATCATTTTGCTCTCATTCAAAGTATGCTTTGCGACGAAACGTAACGATGAAGGTCGGTAAAGACGGAGCGGTAAACGAACAAAAATTCCAGCGTTGAAATGGAACGAAGTAAAGCAAAACGATAAAGTAAGAATTGATATAATTACATTAGCAAGATGGTGAGTTGTATTTCGCTGATGCCGCACGGGAGAGGGGGGAACAGTGAAGTAAAAGTGAAATATTTAAAAGCTCGAGCGCCGTCAAGGCAGAGAGAGAGAGAGAGAGAGAGAGAGACGGTATTTCGACGTCATAAATCTTCCTCCGCTAAATTGTCAAAAGCTTTACTGCAGTTCATCCACAGAGGCGGATGAATTTACGAGAGTTTCTTAAGCTCGTTGCAATGGGACTCCGTGTCACTTATGTGTGCTCACACATGACACGCTCTCGTCGTACGTGCCGCCGCAACTTCCATAAATCTTCCTTTATAGTCTACTCGAAGCCGTGAGCAATTATACGAAAAATGGATACGATAGCGCGCGAGCGGACGTTGCCAGAGTGTAAATCGACGGCGCGTTGATTAACGTGGTAGCTTCGCAATAACCGAATAACGAGCCGATAAGGGAGTGCGAGAAAATGCTGCCGCGAGATCGCGCGTGTGTGCGTGCGATCGAACGTGGTGAACATTTTCACGATAATTTTGCACATCGTGCGACCGTGCTTTCCCGCCCCCGTGTCGCCGGTGATCTTTTAATCTTTCCGGCACACGGAATCGCTGCGCCAACACACCGGCGCTCTCCGCTCCCGTGCGGTCGTGTAAATACGTGTCTTAAGCAATGTAACGCTGTCTGGTACACGCGAAGCGTAACGCGCGACGGAAGTTCGCGAGTTTCGAGCGAAACACGCTCGCCCGCTCGCTCTCGCGAAAAAGTGCTTCGACGTGAAACAAATACCCGTCGTACGCTCGATCGATGAAACGATTCGACCGCGATTCGATCGCCGTTAATTCCCGGCGTTCGGCGTCCTCGCGTTTCCGGAAAATCCGCTCGGGCTCGTGATGCGAACGTACGCGTGAAACGTCGCTGCGTAACGCGCGGCTGTATATGTACGATGCGACGGGCGATCGATGCGACAGGCCGCGTGTCGTCGTACGTTGCGTAAACGATCCCGAATTCCCGCTCAAATATGTCGGAATCCCTCCGCGTGCGTTTACGAGTTTCTTAAGCTCGTCCCGCTCGCTCGTCTTCGCCGCGCTTCTCTACGCGCTGCGCTTGCGCGTGTTCATCCCGGGGAAGCTCATTTACGGTCCGACACCATGCCCGGCATAATACCGAGTGCGGAACGTTCCTTGGGTTATGGGGTCGGCTATGGTGGGTGTGTGTCTGTGTGTGTGCCTAGGCTGCCGGCTGATTAAACCCGGGGTTTTACGGGCATTACGCGTACCCCGGCGAAATACCTCACACGTATAATGCGCGCGCACACGTGCGCCTTAATGCATTTACACGCATAAATATGCCTGTATTATGCACGCGAGCCGTGCGCTGCACAAACGAGAGCGTAATCGCGATCCGATTGACCTGACGCGCGCGGCCTTTCTTACGAGCCGTTCCCGTTAATCACCCGAGCCGTCGTTCGCGCGCTTTATGATGATGTCTTCATGATCACCGCTTCATTCCGCTCCCACCACCGGCCGGCCGCGATTCCGCGCGCGCGAACGCAACAACGAAACCACACGCGAATCTAGAATCACGCAATTACGATAATTCCGACAAATAAGCATCATATTGGCTTCGAAGACACATATTTCACAGAGAAAGAAGTTCTCTGATCCTCTCTTTAAAAGTATCTCCTAATGCCTTTCAGGTTCTTCGCGCGATCCTCGTTTTATTCGCGGGCAACTATCGAGCGGGGCTAGTATCTTCTCTCGAAGGCGTTCGAGTCTCGAATTTCCGAAGATTCGGAACTTCGGTGTTCATTATTCGAATTTCGTGAAAGAAAATGCCGAAGCTTTGAAACATCGAAATTATCAGATTTTCAAGAATCTCTGTTTAAGAATCTCCTGATATATTTCAAGTATCGTCGCGGACAATTGTTAGGCGCAAAGAATTCCTCGTCGAAATAGATAATTAACTAACAGGAGTGTCTTATTGCAAGCGAGATTTGAAAATAAGATAACGACGGCCCGCTGAGAATAATACTTTCTCTAGACACCACGTATTAGGTGCGTGATGTGTTATTATTGTCAGCGACGATACACAGAGAAATGCTGGTTATCATGACCAAGTAAATGAGCAGATATATTAAGAGATGTATAATCGTTCTCTCTCTCTCTCTCTCTCTCTCTCTGTCGCTCGCTATTTCTTAGACCAGGTCGAAAATTAAAATGAGACCGTCTGCTGATTATTGCATTGAATGAACGAAGTCTCGGTGGGTCGATCGGATTGTATTGATTTATTAACATTCCGGGGCGAATGTACGAAGTTATTTCTCCTGGCAAAATTACGAAGCTTCTTCACGCTACCTTACATTATGTCGCTTACGATTCAAGTTAAATTCGAAATAATCGTTGGCTTCAAAAGCAAGAGCGTTTCATTCGAAATCCCTCCAATTCCCCTCTTTTGACAAATCTCATGTTAGTAATTTCACTTAAAACGGAATTCGAGAAAAAGAGACAAGCCATTTCTCTGAACCCAGACACATCAAGATAATTCCTCGCGAGTGGCAATACCGATTATTTCTTAAAACTAGTAAACGACGCTATATCAGGTAGGGAAGCGCGCGTTAAACGATTATTTACACGGTTGAGCGATATAAACCGTGCGGCGATATGGAAGTTAGCTTAATCGACGCGAATAAGTTGGCGCCAGACGAGAATTTAAGAATTCGAGGCGCACGATGCATTTTCGGTCGTACCTGCTTTCTCGCCGCGCACGCGGCCCTCCACATTTACACGCCGCGCCTGATCGCGGCGCCGGTGCAGCTCGTGCTGCAAGAAAGCAGTTTTGTTAATTATCCGACAAAAACAGCAGGCACGGTCTCACGCTGCCGGCGCTATCACGTGTAAGCGCGACGACGATGCGAGGCGGGCAGAAGCGGAAAAATAATGCTGCAAGATTTCTCATACCGCCTAGCGCGCACCTAGCGTACTCTTGCGCGCAAAAGAGAAAAAAAAGAGAGAGAGAGAGAGAGAGAGAGAGAGAGAGAAATAATTGTAACCTGATGATGCATTTAACCGTGCGCGCTCGACAATCAAACATTACGTAATCGCGGTAAAGCGACGCGGTTCTTCAGCGAGACGCACGTTGCGAGTCACTTCTCTTCGCGAAATCCCGTCTTGAGCGATCTCTCTCTCTCTCTCTCTCTCTCTCTCGAGTTGCGGTGAATTTTCGAAAGCACGAAAAACCGGGAAATTGGCGATTTAGTCGGATAAAACGCGCTAGGGGGATGGCGTGTGCGGCACATATATTCCGCGCGCACTCGGAAAGAGTTGCCTCAACGCGAGAAAAGTGGATATTAGTTCAACAACCGAGATATGAAGCTGATATTGTTTCCTTTCTCCTCCTTTGCCGCCGACACCTTTTCCCGCAGCATCGAACTCTTCGCCGGATCGAAATAACATTACGGCCGGCGGTTACCCCCGGTTTCCCTCCCGGGGAAGCGTGAGAAATTTTCGCTGCACCGTCTCAACGCGCTATCCCACGCAGGCCTCTGGGATACTTTCCGCGCGCGCGCAATTTACTACTTGAGATTCCGCGAGCGATTCGAAAATACAAAATGCGGGTAAGACCGCGTACGTACGCGTGACGGCGCCGCGAAAAAATGTGCCGCACGCCAGACGTAATCCCCGACGTTGAAGAATATAAAACGCTTCTCCTCCCCACGGCTCGCTCGCTCGGTTTGTTTGCGCGTGCAGCAGAGCTGACCCGCAGAAAGAGAGGAAGAGCGGGGGAGGGGGGGGAAAAAAATGAGGAGCCGCGAGTAGCTCTGGGATAGCGGACGGCTAGTCCGGTAGTCGTTTTCTCTTCACGGTGACACGGTGCGCTTAATCCTCCTCCGCCTCGGAGAATTAGCCGCGTTAACTTTGCGTTTCTTCGACCGCCGCGGCTTAGCGGAGAAACCGCGCGTCTCTTTGCCGCGATCGTTACGCGCCGGCCAGCCGAGTATCACCATTGAGCTCTATGCTATAGCAGAATGAACCATCAAGGAGCAGGGATGTCTTATTCGCAGAGAAGGACGCGCATATTCCGGATATATCCTTGTCCTTGTTGCGATAGTGTGCAGAAGAGACGGATGTCCCTCCAATCCATTCATCTATCTCTTTTCTCCGCCGGCTCGCGGATAGTTTAGCACAAGGAAGGCTCACTTCAATATGCTGTACAGGGTGTCCGGTAATTCATGGAATATCACTTGTGGTATGGATGGTGGGATGGATGAAACCGAGCAGAAAGATCCGTCTACTATTTTACAAATAACCATGCAAAATTTCGAGTCGATCGAAAATCCGCGTGTTGTTTGCAAAATGGCAAAGGACCTTTTTTTATTCAGAGTGGCTCCGTGAATTACCGAACGCCCTGCGGAGTTAGTATCACTCTATCGAGCGATTCGAGACAAATGTTTTGACAATAGTTCGTCCGTCGAGGGAAGCCAAAGACTGAGAGAGAGAGAGGGAAAGTAAGGATATCGTGTTCTTGTCTTGTTGCAGGTCAAGACGCCAGCATCGTGCTGTCGCCTTTGATAGGCGTGGTGGTCGGCGCTCTCGTGACCCTGGTCCTCATCATACTGGTGGTGGTGGTGCGAGTACGTCGGGAGCGCGTGGCGAAGCCGCGGCACGAGAAGCCGGCGGAACTCAGCGAGTTGCCGCCCCAACAATACCCCTTGCAGAACCCGCAGCAGACCGTGGAGACTGATCCCGACGTGATCCCGAACAAGTTCGGTAAGACTCTACGAAGCCGTCGCCGCTAAACACCCCGCGAACTCGATTACGATCGTTTGCACACTGCGTCCGATGTAGAACAGCTTGTTACACGCGGCGAACCGACGTGGAAGACGTCTGAGATCGCGGTGGATGCATCCCGCGGAAATTCTTCTCTTTCTCTTATTCTTTCGATCCCTGCGAGCGTTTCGACGTTAAAAAGAATAGGACTGAGAGTTCGTTTCGCGGCGCATTGCTTGACTAGAAGTGTGCGAATCGAGCATCCGCGTGGTCGAATCGAATCTTTGGTAGTATGTTCGAAATCGAATTGAATTAAATCTGGAGTTTACACGTCGAAGCGTATCTCTTTAATTCGAATGTGAATCAAATTCGAATCAGATTTTCCGGGATTTACATTACATGCTGATCTGAATATGATAAAGTACTTTCAGTGATATTTAAAAGCCTTCTTTTAAATGGGCAAAAGTATTCATCACTTCAAGATTTTGAGAAAATCTCCTATTAAAAAAGAAAGTTTACAATAGATATCAGACGAGGAATGTGCAGAGCTTAAAGGCTGATAGATACATATGTATATGTGTAATCAATTTTACAAGCTGGTAGATATGCACACAATATGTCTAAAAAATTATGGAATTAATTATTTTTAATTTTTTTGGTGTAACCCATGTACCCATAAACTATGTATTAGTAACGTTTTCCAATTGCATGTTTACCTTAAAATATCGGTATTTTATGATCAGAACCACATCAAATTATTTAACAAAAGAAATGCATTCTTACATGCATAATTTTATTAACAATAAAAAATGACTTTGAGGAGATTTTAATTTCAATCAAATTCATTTATCACTTTTCGATATAAGTATATAAATAAAACGATCGAAAGACACGACCGATTTGAAATAGGGCCACCGATGATTCGAAATTATTGAATTATTCGAATTCGAATCTTTTAGATTCGGAAATGAACTGTGATCAAAGCAACAGCAATTCGATTCGAATTCGAACGATTCGCGCACCTCTATCGAACGTCTACTATTTTTCACCGGCTATTTTTCTTATAAATTTGCGTTAACACGTTGTTGACCGACCATTTTTAATATTGTCCAACTCCCGTTTTCCTAATCCGTGAAAACACGGGATAATTCACGGCTAGTAAAATATAAATTTTCTCGTGACCGGTCAGCAGTGTGTTAATATTGAATTAAATACGCGCGGTGCCAAGTTAAATTGGATAAACGGCGCGAGAACTTCCGACTTTCCCAGAAGAGTTTTCTGGATTTATTCACGTTCGTACAGGATGTTCGGTAATGAAGGCCTTTTGACACACGTGACGATATTTCCGTTTAAAAACCAGAATGATTAGTTTTCAGAGACGAAAATAGTTTTTTGGGCATGGCCTCGTTTTAAAAGAGAATTCGCCGGCGAATAAACGGCGGAACCTTACTCCTCAGTTAAATTTAGGTAAACTTGGCTTTAACTTTATCTGACATTATTCTGACAAAGCGTAGTTATTCAGAACGAGATATTTGAGGGATATAAAAGATAAATCGCGTTTCCCATTTTTCACGATTTATAATTGAGGGATTGTGAAACATTTCTGTTACGTATTAATTTGAATAAATTATTCGAATTTTTCGAAACGAAAATTTTAAATGCTGAATATTAATTCTCCCATATTGTTATTTGGAAATAACACACAATACCAGATAATTACGTACATATTAGTCTAACTCGGGATCGAAGGAAAAGAAATAATAGAAAATGCGACTTGCTCGCGTCGCGTTAACCCTCATTTAATTTTCAAGCTTGAAAAATTACGGGAAACCGCGGCTACCAATTAAATTTCGCTGGAAAGAAAAATTATTCGGTTTAACTCTTTTAAAACGTCGATCTTAGTCAACCATCGTCGTACTTTCTGAAGCGCGCGTCGGACCGGTTTACCGCCGAAGTTTGTTCGAAAAGTGAGCGAAGAGAGAGAGAGAGAGAGAGAGAGAAAATTCAACTTCCTATCACTTCAAAATCGCGGCGGGCAGAATTATTTTCACGGGCGAACGTGGCGGCTTTCATCGGAAAGGGGAGAACCCGGTCCGTATTTTTCGTTCGTATCTATTTCCGTTTGCGCGAAAGCGGTAGCGCCCGAAAGAGAAACTCAATCGACGGAACATCGTCCTGCATCCCAGAGTGTACCGGCCGAACATCCTGTGCACGCGCGCTTTAATCGTCCTGAAGCCCGTAAAATTCGGGCAAGGAACCCAAATCGAAATTTTTAATTTTACATTAAGTCTTCAAGGGAACGAAAACGGAAATAAATTCCTATTTTTCAAGTCGAAATTTCCTACATTAGATCTATTTAGTTTTCTGTTAAGTCTTCAAAAATCTTCTGTTGTTCTCCTTTGATGTTACAAATGCGAAAGTTATTTTCGTTTTCTCCATTTGACGACTTAATGTAGAACGAAATAAACTTAATGTAGGATCAAAATTTCACCTCGGGTTTCCGAATCAAGGTTTAAATTCTACATTAAGCCCGTGTCTAAGGCTTACCTGTAAGATAACTAAATTAGGTAACTTAAAATAGAACTAATCGACTCGGGGAATCGATGAGAAATAAAGATCGGCCGCTCCCTCGGGGCGGGTTCTGCCTCATAACGCATCCTCGCCTGGCACTCCCAAAAGATTTCCGATTCGGTGTTCCAGAGGGTAACCTCGTGGAGGTCAGCCCGCCGAGTTACCCGGGCGGTTATCCCCCGGAGCACTGGGTCACGCCCGGGCCTACGCCGAGCATAGACGAGCTCTGCCACAAGTTCGCTGGCAGGCCGACGGAGCTGAGGTTACCATCGAGAAGCACGATACCGAGTCTGCCGGGGATGCCGGTGACGGGGGTGATGGTGGGCGCCGGACAGGGCGTCGTCATCGGTGGTGCTCAGGGTGTCGTCGTGGGCGGCGGTCAGGGCGTAGTCGTGGCGGGCGAGTGCCTCGACGGCGAGGCGATCAAGCGAAGACTGATGGCGAACAGGCTACCGGAGAGCTGCGTCTAGAGAAGATCGACTCGTGCCGCGGGTGACGCGCGATCGTCGCCGTGAACAGTCGCAGCTGAGACCCCGATGGTGCGACCGTCGCGAGGGACTCTCGAAAGAGAGTACGCGAGAGTCGTCGCGTGTCCGAGAGAGCGACTTTCCACGAGCATCGCGTTGCCCCTCTGTGTCGGGGTTCTCGAGGTGCCGCCCGCGGCACGAAGCCCGCTGCTGGGAAACGCGGGGGGGATGTTGGCGGGGATGGTTTGTAAGCGGCTGGGGAATCGCTAAGGAGCCGGATCACGCGTCACCATCTTCCTTACCGGGGAAGAGCGACTTCGCGCGCGCGGGTCCGGAACGACACGGCGCGAGACTTGTTCGCGCGGGGGCTTCGGCTCGAAGAGTTTCGCGAGATTAGAGGCGCCGAGCCTCGTCGCGCGATTGTTTTTCCGAAATACGATCGCCGTGCGCCGGTTCTTCTCCTACGGGAGCGCCGGAGGACAGCGGAAGTACGCGGGAGAGAAGCTAGCCGGTAACTTGGCGAAGTTCGCCGCCGAGGCGGCGGCCACCCGGCCAAATTCCAACATTCCGTTTTCGGCCATCGACCCGTCTCTCCTTGCCCCCTTTTTCAGCTTCACACGCGAATGATCGCCGACGCCGGTGTCTTCTCGGATATCTCCTCGACGAGTTCGCGCTCACCACCTCCTCTTCCTCACCCCCCTCGAGAACGGGAAACCGAATCGCGAGTTAAGGGATGCCGCGCGATTGAACGTCCAATTTTTAAAAAAGCGCGTCCTCGAGGACGTCCTCGTCTTCTTTCCGCTTTTCGTGAGACCGCCTCACGTGTCGCGCGGACATCGAACGGTGAAACGTCAAGACCCGTTTGTGTTCTTTCCGGGTGTCCCTTCCCTTTCGATTCGCTCGGTCTACATTCGTGTACGGGAGACATCCGGAAACTCGCGACCGCCACTTCGCGACCAGGATGCGGCGTAAATTCCTGTGACTGTCTGTATCCCTCGCCCTTTCTTTAATGCTTGTCTCCTCGTGTTTTTTTTTTGCTTTTATGGGAAGGTAGGACGCGATCGCTATTCGCCGGCCGCGCGAACTTAACTCGCGTCCCGCGGATGTCCCTGAATAAATCTGAGTCGTAGCGACGAGGCGTTGGTCCGGATGCGCCGTGAAACACGGGGGAAAGATAAAAGGCTCTCGAACGAACCCCTTTTCCGATGGCTCGAATGAAGACGAATGGAGGAACCGCGCGAAAATACATACTGGGAATAAAGGGGGGGGAGGGAGACGAGGTAGGGACGAGAGAGAGAAAGGAGGGGAAAGGAGGCGAGGGAGACGTGGAATGAAAGGAGGAAAGGGAATGCTCGATGCCACTTTGGCGTGTAGTTTGAAGGCGTGAAATGCGGTTTTAAGGTTGAACGATCGGCTTCGATATCGCGATAAAAAAGAAGGGAAAAGAACGAGGGACGGAAAGAGCGAGAGAGAGAGAGAGAGAGTGAGAGGGGTAGGGGAGGAGAAACGAGGCACATCGATATTCCGCTGAAATCACAGATTTCATATTTTTGGGGCGCAACTTTCGCACGCGATATCGGCGATATCGAATGATATCCGCGCTATTTAAGCTCGCAGGCATACCCGGAACGTCGCTAACGATATCATGAGATTTCGGTGGCTCTCTTTTTCTCCAAAGCACGCTGACGAGTCATCGGACGCGCGTCGAATCTCCAAGACAGACAGACAGACAGACCGTATCACCGTATCTCTACCAAGTTAAATTCAATTAACGGACGGTTCAGCGATGAGACGACCACCATATCCGCATCTCCACTGCCACGTCCTCGGGAGGGACGAAAAATATACTCGCGAATATATTCGCCGAGTGCGACGGACTAGAGTGAAAACGACTCTCACGCAACCGTGCAAGCCAGCGTTACCCTATTGGTATAATATGTAATTGTGATAGAGCATTTGTAAATTTTTCTACCGCTGATAATGAGTTTTTCTGTACTCCCGCGAACGTCGAATAAAAGCCCCCGGCTCGCGCGGGGGCTGGCGCAATGAGACTCGAATATTCCCTCGATGATTCCGCAGAGTATATCCTCACTGGGTGCGTGTTGTGCGCGCGTGTATGTGTGTAAATATATACATAGTTTTAACTGGTTCCCCCCCGTGAAGTCGTTGTCACCGTAACTTCGCGCGATTTTGTCCGAGAGAGAGAGAGAGAGAGAGAGAGAGAGAGAGAGAGGAAGGTAGAAAGAGAGATGAGGAAACAGCGAGGACGAGGAGCACGGTGCGGCGTCCGCGGATCTCTATGCCCGCGTGAAGCGAAACTTCAACTCTGTAAGGTTGCAAAAACTGGTCTTCCACGTGACACTTCGTGCGACGAAGTCATGAAACTTCTACGGCGAGAATAGAACTAACGAATCGGCAAAAGGCGTATCCCTCTAATGGAATGGAGTAACGTGAACTTTGCCCGCGAAAAAGTTCGCGCGCTTCGAATGATCGATAGGCGTAATGTGTAAAAAAAAAAATGGAGGAATATGAGTGACGGACAGAAGGAGCGAGAGAGAAAGTGAAAGAATGAGAGTGAAAGAATGAGAGAGAAAGAGAGAGAGAGAGAGAGAGAGTTAGGAGTGAATAACGAGTATCGTGTCGGCGACGGCGCAGAGTCGCACCTCTCGGGATACGAGAAACTAAGTAATGTCGAATCAATCGTCGAGTGTCTGTTTCGATGTATAAAAAAGGATAATGATCAAGCACGATGATGGTTGCTCGTTAGCTAATGTATCGCTGTATATACATATCGTGGGAGGGTTTTAAGTTGACGACGCGGCCTCGAGAGCTGTCGTGGTGACCGGAAGAGCGGCGTTATCGAGCATGCCTCGTTCGATCCTCCCGTTTATCCTGTATCCACGGGAAGGACGAGCGGGAGGAAAAATTGTTCTCATCGATCCGCGAGAGGCCCTTCTCGCGGGGTCACGTTTACGCGAAATATCGTTACCCGATAGCTCGTTCCGCCGGGATCTTTGCATTTTCGTATCGCCGCGTGTCGCCGCGGTTCTCCGACGATGACACCGGATCTCGATGTTCCTGAAAAGTAATTTAAGTAAGCCGAGTACTTTTGTGCCGAGATACGCACCGAGAGGAGAGGCGAAATGCCCTCTTCTGATTTCGATCGCGAATGCAGCAGCAGCTCATTTATTCACTTCGCAATTTTTTTTTTCCTCGAAAGAGAGAGGAAGAGAGAGAGAGAGAGAGAGAGAGAGAGAGAGAGAGAGAGAGAGAGAGAGATAAAATCGTCCTCTTTCCTTCTTTTTCACTGCGATTACCGAAAAGTTCGCGACGCCACATGATGAATGGGATAATTCGGTCCATCTTTCTTCCTTCTTCCGTTAAACACTTATAACGATTCTTTAAGCGCTAATTATCACTTCCCGGGTGACATCGTCGGAGAATCGACGGCCGCGGACTCGGCGGCGCGTAACTTTCACGTCCATGAAAATTCGTTCGAGGTGCGAGAGTGAGTGATGCGAGAGGAGAGGACACATTTCGTGTTAAAGCGTGCGCGCGCGCGCGCGCGCGGACTGAGAGTTAGAATAAGACGAAGCACTACCTGTCCGTATTCGTTTTGTAAGAGTGAGCTGGACAGGCGAGGGTCGGGGTTTATTAACCTTTTCGTGTGTAAGAGATCTCGTTTAGCGAGCGGCAAGGATACTCGGCCGAAAGTAGGTACCGAAAAAACAAACAATTCTCGGTCGGCGCGACCACCCTCAGCAACAATCAGATGCGAGAGCGTTGCGGGGGAAAAGCGCGAGCGCGATCACAAGTGGACGAGAGGTAAGACAAAAGAAAAAGAGAGTGAGAGAGAGAGAGAGAGAGCGAAATGAAACCAGTAGCGAAATAATCGACACAATGTACATAATCGGAGAGTGCTGTGCGTAACAAGAACAACAGCAACACCGAGTCCATGTAAATCGATCTGGCAGCCGCGTAAAGCCGAACCTTAAGTTCACTGTATAGGCGATTTCATATCAGATCCATATCGTTTATCTAAGTCGTATGTATATACTACAACATGTTTTGATCTGAATAAACTGTTTAATTGTCCTGAATTTCTCCTGGCTGTTTATTCGCGCTGTTTATTCGCGACGATCCCCCGCGAACTCGCTCCGGGGTATTACTTCCGCGCGCGAGCACGCGGTATACCCGGGAGAGGAGCGCGCTTATAAAGTAAAATAGGCGCCTTGACAAACGACGCTCACGTGCCGCAAAAAGATAGACGCGCCTGAAAAATGGGGCCGAAACTTCCTTCCGGTTCGACGAAAAAGGAATACTCAGCACGTGAGAAGTCACTCGGAGCGACGGAGCTTTGAGATATTCGTGCTGCGCTCTCGCCGAGGAAACTTGGCTGCACGTAAGTTTCTCTACCTCTTTCTCTTTCTCTCTTTCTGCACGGCTATATTACTAGCGGAGAGCGCACGTCGTTAGAGACGCTGTGTGTGTATGTGTGTGTGTGTGTATCGTTAGGATATCGTTCATTTGACCGTGACTGTGTTCGACTCGCAGGAAGATTCTTTGTGTCTTCCTCCTTTGCTCTCTTAAGTACTTGAATCAGTGAAAATGTCATTGACTCACTGAATTGAATCGTTGAAACGGTACTCTAGTAATCGATAATCAGTAAGTGTTAATTAATTTTTAGTGGAAACTCTGCCACTTAAGCTCCTTTGTCTGATATTTCATTGATTTTGGCCATGCGGAAGATTCACTGTAAATCGTTGTTACGCGTCCCATAGCGGAGATACATGTACATATCGTGTATGCATTAAATCATATGTCGTGTTTAATGTAATTCGCATGGGAGCAGAGCGGAGACTCAAAAGAGCTGGAGATTTCGAGTTCGAGTATCATCGGGACGTATTTTTCAAATATAAATACGATATACCTGTAAGTCAAATCAATTAAACGTAATTAAGAATATTTCAGGTAAATTCATTGACAATACCTTAAGAGTGGGATTAAGGTTATAAAAAAGAAATAATAACTAATATCTTTTTCCACCGTTTTTCTGCAATTTGATCTCTCCGACGGGAATGATTGCCACTATTAATAGACTTTTGCAGCGCAATTTTACCGATTTGCAGTACTATTCATAATTATGTTAGATATGTTACATTAAGAACGCAGATAAAGTTCACGGGAATTTTTTCTTGCAAAGAGAATAACACTCATATCACGAGAAAGGAAGAATAATAGCTCTGATATATTACACAATTTGAGCAATGGACAGTTACGCGAGAATCTTGTCGGACTGTTCTAAAACGGGAGAAAAACGAGTTGAAACGATAAAAAATGTCGTCGATTCAGTGAAACGTCGATATCACGCAAATATCTGCAGTTGATTAAATCGTATTTGTCATTGATTCAATAAAATTTGTGTCGAAAGAATAATATACCGTTTTTGATTTAATAAGATATAACGTTGCATTAAAAAGCACGTTGAATTTTGAAGCAACGTTTCCAAATTAAGAATTCAACATTACAATATGATCACGGGAATTGTAAGTATGACTGAAATAATATGAAACAATATTATTTCACACTCAGAAAATACTACGGACTGGTGTGGTAATAACTGGGTATGGTTGCCGCAACAAAATATTAATGTTATTTCTCGCCTATGTGTATATAAAGGTTGCATGAGCCTCTTTACTAGCATTAATTTAGAAGAAAAATCGCCACGAGTGTATGACCTAGAGTGCAGCACGAATCCATATTTTCATTTATTATAAATTTCGCGTCGCGACGACCGTTAAAATCCTCTCCGCTAAGGGCTCGTCATTACTTCACATGTAATTGAAATAAATAATTATTTTGGTTGAGGTAACTAAATATACGATTAATTCCATCAAGTTTCTTCAAGACTGCTGTACTGTTGACCCAAATACTAAAGTGATTAAAACAATAACATGGCGTATTAGCTTCAATAATATTGCTATTGAATCGAGAATATTGATTTCAATGGCGATGATGCCGTTGAATCAATTATTTCCTTTCTATGCGCCTCTGTTACTTTAATTGCGTCGCAAGGGAATCTCGTAACTTTCGGTACATCGCTGCACGAGCGACTATTAACTGCTTCTCGGTGATAATGTACTGATTGCACTTTGAGAGAGACGAACGAAGAATTTTAATGAGCTTTTAGGAGCAAAGCAAAGGATGTTAATGAATACGCCGTTCATTTCACCGCGCGAGTTCGACTCGCAGGAAAATTCCCGACGTCCTTTCCTCTCGGTCTCCGGCCTTCTCTTGTTTTTCTTTCGTACGTCTCTTCCATACGTCGCGCATTAGCCGTGAAAATTCGCACCGGAGAAATTCCGGGAACGTATGGCGGCGGCTGATAGAGTGCGCGCGCGTGTGCATCTGCGTCGGTATTCGCCGCGAAGGCGAGAGACTTTTGCCCCGCGGATTCCCGAATTTCAACACACGCAGAGAGGGTCATATTTTACGCCGGCCGGGGAAGTAATTTCGCCTGCTCGATAAGGTGTTCCGTGATATATGATACATAGAGGGCGGCGCGAAATTAATTTTCGGCTCTTGATTAATCGACATTAATCGGCTCTAAATATCCTCGCCATGAACCCGCTCGCGTCGGTCAGTCGTTAAAACGGCGAAATGATCGCTTCCGCTAACGACTCAGCCCCGCGACTGCGGAGTGGCGACCGAGGGCGCGATAATAAAACGCGATGATAAAATAGCGAGATTAAAATACCGAGATATATCCGATATATATATATATCGCTCGTGACAGGGCTGGAGTTTCTCAGAAAAGGTCACTCAGTTTCGAAATCGCGTGTCATTTCTGTCACGACACCGCTTAATAATAGCTAATCCGTTCCGTCAGGCGAAAATATTCCGCGTGATGCAACCGATTGAGTGACACGTTATGATAATATTACATATATATATATATAGCGACAGTCCTCCCTCTTTCACGAGTTTTGGGCTGTCGAAGTAACAATTTTCCATATGATTTTTCCTACTTAATAGGTATAGTTTAATTGTAAGACCTCCTGCGACGACAGCGGACGGACAGGCCATAAAAATTGCTTAAGATGCACGCCCTGCGAGCTCCCTCGTGTGCCTTTGAGCGTGGCGAGGAGGAGAAAAAAATGGAAAAGACGCCTCGCGGAATTTTAATCCTGTCTTGTACATTTGCTGCTACACCGAGCGTGCCATACGGTGGAAATAAGAAAAAGGAGGACACTGTGCAGTATCTTTAACATGGGCGTTTTAGAAAATTGAGCACGTTTATTTGCGTTAACGTGAAAAAAAAACTCCCCGACAGTATCGTCATAAAATCGTTAATACATTTTTGACATGTTATTCTTATAAAATAAACAAAATTTGGCGTTATATCGAGAACACGGAGAGACAGCATTTTACGAGAATGTTTTCTAGTAAAGTGAATGGCAATCACGCGAAAGAAATAACAATATCCCAAATATATTTACACAAAATTTGAGAAATTACATCTCCGTCGGAGTCTCATCGGACTGATCTGTCTCCGTTTCTTTAATTGCATCGCAACTGAATGTAATACCTCGTAGCTTTCGGTACATCGCTAATGGCATACTGACAGTAACATCCATGCTTTTTATTACCGCGTCATTGTACGCTCCGAAAGTCGGATATTTTACTCGTTCCAGGTGTGACAAATGTATCTGAGAAAATTGAAAAAAAAATGAAGAAAAGGAGAAGGAGGAAAATGTCTCCGTTAGCTTAAAAGCCGTAATTATTAACCGAATTGTGCACGGAAAGGAAAGATTAACTGGATCAGTTAATAGCTATAATAATGCCTTTGCTGCTGCAGCAATTATATAAAGCAAAATATAATACAATACATATAATAAAAATATAATAAATAATAATAGAAATACATAAATAACTTTTTTTTACGCCGTTAAAGTTTTAGGCATTCATATGTTAGATCTAATTTAGCTACCGTGGCTAATTTTTTTCCGTGCGTCGCGGGGACGAATGAGACGCGGGGAGAGAAAGGGAGAAAGATACATTTCTCGGTGTCGCAAAAGAATGTCAGATTTAAGAATGGATTGTACAATTCGCATTTACGTGATTTAAAAAATCCAACGCTTATACCGCTTGATATCGGCGGTATTGCAAGACGGGGATATCGTATTTATACGCACATCGTCGGTGCCCGACGGTGGAGCGGGTAGCGAGGGAGCGATCGTGCTCATTATCCTGTAATACAAGTTTTTCGTTTCTCCGCTGTCGCTCCAGAGACCCTCCGAGTAAGTCCAATAAATAAGTCCGGTCGTGATAGTGCCTTTTATAAGAAACATTACGGCTCTGCAGAGTCTCTCGCCGATCGAAAGCGACGACGACGCCGGCTTTTCATGGCGATAATAGAGCTGCGCGAATAGAGACAATACAAATGGCTGGCGGGAGTCTCGCCGCGTACGTTCAACTCGCGTATATATATTTTATACGTTTCATTTAAACGAGAAAGAGAAAGAGAGAAAGAGAGAAAGCTGCAAGACCGAATTTTTCACCGGGCTCTCGAATTCCAAAAGTTCACGAGTTTACCGCTTCGTTCGAGCTGTTTTTTCATTCGTCCTCTTTTTGTCGCTCGTTATCTAGTTCCCAACGTTTATTAAATAAACCAACTGCAAAGTTATTCGAACTACATACATTGTAAAGTGTAGACCGAGACTGTGTGTTATCGAGTCTTCGCCGTGTCGTCGATTATGAAAATAAATACGCCCACGTTCACGGTTCGCGTTCCATTCCGGCAAGCAAGGTGCTTGACCCTCCGTTCCAAGACCGAGCTAGGAATGATGTCCCTAACAATTACGAGGACTACGGACTGTCCTCCTCCATTAGAGACCCATCGATGTCGCTATAGTAGTGTACACCGACTGTCAAGCTAATTCCAGGTAAACGCAACTACGTATCGACTAACCAATTCCGTACAGGTGCTCGAACACCATCATCTCGTTACACGCCGTGTCAATATCGCGCAAGGCCAAGCGAACGCCCGACACGGCGACAAGCCACATGATTTAACCCGGAAATGGATGCTCCGCGCGCAGAATCCATCGCGACGAGCATCCCCCGCGGTGGCGAAAATTAAACAGCGGCATTGCAGGCAGTTTATTTTTCTAAAGTCCAATATGGACGTTCCACTTTCTTTCTTTTTCTCTTTTTTTAACAAAGATCCTCCCTTCGGTCGCAAGGACCATGCCGTAACGCGAGATTCCAATCGATCCGATTCAGTTCGATCCGAAAAAAAAGAGAGAAAGAAAAGAAGCTTCGACCGGATGTTCAAAGAGCGATGATACGACATTTTGTTTAAAAGCTCAGTAATCACCTTCGGTTTGCAGGTCCTCTGCATATCTTTCCGCGTGCAAACTCTCACCGTCGCTGGTGTAAGTGGCCGATGATTACTCGCTAGATCGGAATCTGAGAAAGTGTTTCCACCGTTCGTACCGACGAGTTTCTGAACTGCTTTCGGTCTTACGCATGTTTTTGGGTTCGACAGATTAATGGTTTGCACGATACACTTCGTCCCTTTCTTCATATTTTCTCGTGCGACTAGTCATAAATTGCAAATTCTGTCTCATATTACTTATATAGGTTAAATACGAAAGTAACCCCGAAACATTCCTCGACCTTTTCGCCACATAATCGAGCGTCGGAAATACAAGCTTTCGCGCTTATGTCGCTCGAACGTTTGATGTTTAATCGTTGAAACGTTTATTAGATGAGTGCAAAATCATGCGCTTTACATGCACGATAAATATCATACTTACACAAGTGAGTCGAAGGATTACGGTAAATTTCTGGCTAGAAATTGAGACGTAACGGGCAGAGTTTTCGGAGAGACCTCAATTTTTCTGGTTTCGACCGAAATATTGATACGCCGCAATAACTGCTATACTGCAAATTTATCTGACGCGATGACACATGGGTAACTGACGCTTGTTAAAGTCGATAGCTTTTGTCCATAATTTCGCGATTACTTGTACTTCACGTAAATTCTGTCTGATGCTATTTTAAAGTAATTAATCCGCCAAATAAGTTTTAGATATCCTTTGAAACTTAGCTTATTGATAGAAATACTATTTGCGTGTCTGTAAAATTAGAAAGCGATTGAATGAGACAACCTTTTTGTCCACACAACTGTACGTATTTAAATATTTATTTCTTCTTTTATGTGTGCGCTTCTATTGGCTCAACTGACGTATAAATAAAGCATTAGTAAGAAAAATAAAAAATAAATAATGCCTCCATGTTTGTGATAATGTATAAATTTCTCTTAATTTCGCCCAAAATTAACATTTATTACTTAGATAGTTAAATAAAGTTATACAAAAGTCTCTTCTCACTAAATAATAAACCTTTGAAGAGGCTTTTTAGTATCGCCATTGAAAATCCGACATTCTTACGGACACTCCGACTACCTCAAAGGGACGTGGTCAATTATTTGTCGAAGAAACTCACAAGATAACTGAGCTTTATTCGCGACCAATTTAAATATTTTCAAGTGGCACGGGTGCGCCACTTTGTAAAAGTCTCGAGATAAGAGGTGCGAGGAGTGTTCCGCGCGCTTTTCGCGTGGAACGCACGGTTTACAGGATGTAAAGACAAAATTGAAACGTTTCAAGTGTGTCGAGAAAGTGAAAATGTCACGCGCAAATAGAGAGAACGTAACTCAGACGGTGGCGGCTCAGGAGTGAACGCAGATACGGTCTTTCTGAAGGGCCACCGCGAGAGGAGAGAGCGAGACGTGCACTTATCTCGTAAAATGTGCGCTTCGCTCGGGGTATTTGAGAAAAACTAGAATTTCCCCCAAAAAACGGTCGAAGGACGAGAAATGTGTAACTCCGCCGCAAATAGAACGGTATAGATCGGAAATGTTCGAATATGTCGCGAAGGTGAGGGTATAACTCGCGAATAGCGAAAGAGTAGGCGGCGGACGGCGGATGAACGGGGGACGGGGGGGGGGAAGAGAGAGGGCAGAATATAACCCGAGAAGTAGCGGTTCCGGAATAAACGTAGATATGGTTTTTTTAAGACCCCGACGGAAGGACCGTTGGAACCGTGGTGTGTGTGTGCGGACTTTCCTCGTAGAAGCTTACTTATCGTCCGCCGTAGACGGTTCGCTTATCAGCCGCGCGCGTATCGCTATACTCCCCTTCTCCGAGAGGCGTTCACGCGAGCACATCGAATACATCGAATGTGCGAAAATTAAGCGAGGCGATAAAAGCGCGAGCGTCGTAAATGGCGGGGGCCAGGTGACGGATACCCGGGTTCTTGCCCGGAGGACAAGACACGACGCCGTGTCGTCGATTTCTTACCGAGCGGTCGTCATCTAAGGGCAACGGGGGTGCTAACAAAGAGGAGAGATGAAAAAGCGGGGGAAACGCGCGAGGAGGACACGTAACAGATACGGCACGATGCGCGCACAAAGGACCGGCCGGAATAATGTATGGCGAGTACTTCGTCAACTTTGGTACGCAAAATCCTCGTTCGGGCCTTCTTGTGGTCCCCCGTCACCTCGTCTTCCCGCCCGCGACTTTCTGATAAGAGCGAATATATAAAGGAGTCGAGATTGCGACACGAGGGTACGACGGAAAGGGACGTAGGGCCGGGGGACTCGGGGGGAAGGATGGGGGTGTTGAAAAAGAGGCCAGTGCTTGATGAAACTCAGTTTCCAACGAGGTCTTTACGCCACTCTTCTCCCGTACTACGTTTCGTTACGGCATACAGCGAGCGACCTCACGATTTCTTATTCATCAACGCCATTGGAAAAACTCGTGAAATTTGCATCCGACACGATCGTACATCTCTCTCGCGCGCGCCCACGTTGACGGATCCACGGATCGTCGCACCTTCTCTTCGGCGACGAGACACATCGCGAGGCGTCACGCGATCCGCCGCGCGGTTAACCCTTTCCTGAGCATTAGACCCGCCGTGACAGCGTGAGATTTTCATAAAATTTCGGGCAATATTAAAATAATACTCAAATTTGGATAGAAAGAGAGTATGCAATATTAGAAAAATATTAAAATTTAGAACGACCAAGAAAAGAAAGAGAGAGAGAGAGAATATAAGAGAGAAAGCGAGAGAAAGAGGCGAGAGAGAAAGTATGCGATATTAGACAAATATTCAAATTTAGGCGGTGCGCTTCTGCGATATTTTATTGCGGAGAACCATTTGTCGGATGCATCGGATATTTTCGAGGTAAACGGAGACTCTCTCCTTTAGGGATTCACGTCCCCGCGATATTCGACGTAGTAATTGGAGTGTTGGATAAACCCTGTCCGCGCCGCGGCACTAACGAAAATACACGCCGGTGTTTAAGAATTAATACGCCCGGCGAGTCACTCTTGTATTCGCGTGTGCGCGGCGTGGAGACAACATCGGTGCGCGAAATTCCAAGGATGCCATCTTGTAAAAAATGTATCCCGTCGGTGCGGAAGTCACTGCCTGAGGAAAGTTCCCAAGGACTCGAAGAAGAAGACGGAAGGGAGGAGGAAGGGTGGGAAAAAATAAGGGGAGAAAATAGTAAATATAGAAGAAGCGGAAGAAGAGGAAGAAGAATGAGAGTCTGGGGAGAGAAGGATGGGCGAACTGGCGCGTAAAGGGGAAAAAAGGAACGGCGATGGAAATTCGGCGCCAACGTGAAGAGCCGGTAATCAACTACGGTGTGGCGGCAACGGAACAATGGCACCGTAATTAATTTATAATTAGGCGCCGAGTGTATTCGTGCGACGCGTCGCGACAAATTTGATCTCGTCTCTCGCCCTCGGAAGAGATCGAGAGACTAATAAACGCGAATTATTAACGAAAAGAGGGAAAAAGTGAGACAGCGTCCTCGTGCGATCGAGCGACGCTCGGATTGACCGGCGGAATACACGCGCGTTCTCTCAAACTTTACGGGGATAACGAATTTCTCATCAAGGCTCCTTCGAAGCGAAAGAAACCGTCCGTTAAAATTTGCCACGTCGTCTCGATGCAACGTCCCGGTGATATATACTCGCGGGATATAAAAAAAAGAAGATGAGGAAGAGACAGAGAGAGAGAGAGAGAGTGAGGACGAGGGGAAGAGGAAAGAAGCGAGAGATGCTATGAGAGGAGAACGACTATCGCGCGACGATAAAAAGAGATTCACGATCGTTCGCCGTCCGTGGATGGACATTAAGAAAACCATGAACGTCGCTCCGCAGGTAGGTCTACGATCTTTTAACGAAGGCTACAGGACGGGGGGGGGGAGGGGGGGAGATACGAAGGACGAGAGAATTCTCGTACAAGAGAGAGAGAGAGAGAGAGAGAGAGGACTTTCGGAAAAAACTAATTTTCGCGATATTAGTCTTACGAAATTGGTTATTGATGTTCTATTCGTCCGCCGATAATGGCGGGCGGAAGCGATTCCTCGCGGAAAGGTCGTAAGGTTCCGGGCGCCGGGTCAAGGATCTCGGGTTACGTTGTCCTTGCCGGCGCTCGTCCTTCTTAAAGGAATTGCTTCCTTAACGGGCGTTAAATCGACTTTGCCGGCGCGGTCCTTCTCGCTCTTGCGATTGACAAATATTTCGTGGTCTTCGCCTCGCCTCCGGACTTCGTCTTACTTTCTTCCCTTCCGTCCTTCTCCTCTCTCTTTTCCCCATCCACCCGCTCGCCAATCCGTTCGTTCATCCACCCACTCACCCTCCACGTAGCTCCACCAGCACGGTTCCATCCCTCCCCCGTCTCTCTCCTCGCTTTTCCTCCTCGAGTCCACCTCGTGCATTCTTTTTCGCCACTTTCTCGCACAAAGGCTTCCGAGCGCACCTCGCAAGTTTCTCTTTCCAGCTGGACGAACGGCCGGCCGTCTGGCGACATTCCAAGCAATCTCTTCGCCGGCCAGGGATTGTCAAAAGAATACACGATAAATCGATAAACTCGCGGCTCCTACGCGCCACCGGCAGACAGATAGTTGTCGAGCGCGCTCGTACGAACGTGATTCGGGAATTTGGACTCGGGCGGCCCCGGTGCATACAATAATACGGCGCACGGCCATTCTCCGCGTATTTCACAGGGCTGTTCCTCCCTTTTTACCCGGTATAAATCAATTCGCAAAAAGGACAACGCCGACGAGACGACTCGTCGTTTTAGCGGAACACGGCGCACGTCAAACCGCCGACCGCGTCATTACGTCGCCCATATCCGCGAATGGCCGCGATACCGTGCCGAATATCGAGACACGAGCTCCGGTCCCGGAAATGCCGCTGGAAAATCTGTCTAATCTATAGCACGCATTAAGGCGTTTACTGGATCGCGTCGTATAGCGCGCGATCCTGCAGCAGCCGATGGCAATCGGAAACGCGGCAGCTTGACAGCCGACTAATAACTCGAAGACTCGCGCGAGCGCGAAAACGGGATGCGGACGGGGTGAAGGGGAGGGGGAGAAGCGCCAGAGGCACATATGATTTGCTGCGGTGTCGTAAATTGAGATTAGCGCGGAATTTCGGTAGTCGCCGTCTAACGGCCGATATTAAGGAGGAGTAGAACGTAGTTGTTCGCCGAGTGTGAGAGAGC